TTTTGACTTGGTGACTGTGATAATTTCATTATGCCTCGGTATACAAACCAAGAATATTTAGAGATGGTGTACTGCTATCGCGAGTGTGACGAAGTAGGTTTGGTTTACGAATGAGTCCCTAAACCATAGAAGTTGCATTTGGTGCAGTGAGTAGTTATAGGGACACTTTAAAAAAAGGTGAAAAGACACGTCCGCAAACAGGCAACCTTTGTTTGCAGCAAAATGGTGGTTTAGAGCAACAATTTTGCAGATAATAATTTAAGTCTCTTTTTATTGCTAGTGTAAATACTTTTTGATTAGAAACAACTAATTGTGTACTACCAGTGTGATTGATTTGATAAAAAGTTCTAGTGAAAAAAATGAATATGTTCCTCGTTCCTCGTTGTACCTACCTAAATCGCCGGTCTCGTAAGTACTTTTGAATACCTGGTTATAAATTTCATTCTTGGGGTATTAAGCAATAAGTATTTCTTTTTGTTTAACATTTGCCTATTTCCAATCGTGACAAAATTATAATTAACTTTTAAAGTTTTTCTCTGCTTAAGAAAAGATGACATTTGTGCTTATTATTTCAATTTCAATAAATGCATCTAAGACGATTTTATTGTACCTATTGTGTGGAATCAAACGAGTCAGTTGAGCTCTGTGTAGAGTTAGGTAGCTACTTACTCAACGGCTGGCGGGCGCGGTCGGTCGTTGACCCGCGGTGGAATTTCAATGTTTTTCCGTTTTTTAGAAGTGCTTATTTATTAGTTGTTTTTCACTGGATATGTAAGTTTGTTTGTTTAAAATGAATTAACTACTCAAAACGAGGAAAGGACATAAAAATACACAAATTATAAATAAATACATGAAAAAAATATACTTCAAAAAAATCCGAAAAAAGACAGGCATACTCTATACACATAACCCAACAATCTCACGAAGTTTCATAGAAACATTCAATTTCACCCTATATAGTATACGTCAACTGAATCGATATAATCGCTTTTTGTTTTGTTTTTAGTCACTTAACGACCTTGCCCCTCTAGCATGACCACCGAAACGGGATATGATAAAGCTTTTTATCGAGTCTCAACTGTCAAACTCCACTGTAATCTGACAGTTAATGCCGATATATCGCTTTATCATATCCCGTTTCGGTGGTCATGCTAGAGGGGCTGACCCCCTAAACAAGATACCTTTCAACATAAGCTATCGAAATCGCTAAACAGAAAATGTATGGAATTTTTGTCATAAACTCAGGCTTGGTTTTCGAGTGTAACTGTCAAATACCATGCATTTTCAATTTAGTGATTATCCGTTTGATTGCTACGTCACGATAGAACTGTTTTTAAATACAAGAAAGCAAGGCTCGATTGCAAAAAGATACATTTGACTAAGCGCGTATGCTATTTGGTTGTCCCAGTCATAGGTGCACGCTAATTTGTTCAAAGCAGGCAATTCATTTACTTGTATTTGTTGATCAATACTAGAATACCTACGTTTATTAATAACAAGTGGCCAGTCCCGGCTTCGCACGGGTGGGCATTTACTTTTAAAACATTTTGGGATGCCCCTCTTTACTACTACTGTCCAGGAAAGGCCTGCGAACGTCCCCCGAGACGTTAGTTGGTAAGTCTTCAAATACTTACCCAATAATTTCATTAGCTACAGTTCCCTCTTTCCGAAACACAGTAATGCACATTAAGATTACTATGTTACCGGTCCCTTGGTGTCCGCAGTAGTTCGGGGGTATTTTTGTCCGCGGTATTTTTAATCCATCTTGTGCGTTACTTTTTGCAGTTGTAAGCAATCTATTACGGCAGACAAAAGTCCCTCGTCTGCGCTGGCTTTAAGGAAATTCCTTCACATAATTTTTACATCAGTATGTTAAGGGTAACAAGATGAAGTGACTGTATAATAATGTAAGCTCGAGTATTCCAAGGTCATGATTTTTTCGCATTTTCAAAAAGCGCCCATGACTTATGGTCGCGTTCAAATCGTCAGTCTTTTTAATAGGGGCTTCTGTAGGGTTCACGTTACATCCCTTATCTTGATTTTTTTTTCCAATTTTCTATCCCTTCGTACGGCCACCACCTCTAAGGATCTTTTTGAGAGGTTTCCAAATAAGATAATTACAGAAAGTTTGGGTAGCAGTAGAAAAAGCCGTTAATGTAGAATCATTTTCTAGTAGTTAGTTTGCTATAGTGGTTATTAGTTCAATAAAACCCGTATATCCGCTATGCCTACAGCTTAGAGCTCTAAGGCTTACAGTGGTAGATTAAACAACTCGCGTCTTGCGGTTCAATATCGTGTGTCCGTACACTACAGACAGACCGCACGCTAGAGATATTTACGACACAAGTTTCATCCACAAACATTTGGAAATTTTGAATGTGAAACATTAGTATCGAACACCATCTCATGCTGTCTCACTTCTGTTTGATACAATTTGCCCTTGTTGGGAATAAAAACGATTCATTCACTTATTCAGTAATAAATCACTATATTCAATAGTTCAGGACGATATAGCAATGGTGCAAAGTACTACAAGGTATCACTTAGTAATTATGGAATTTTCAAAGAAACAATTTTTTTATTTATTTCTTGCCTTTACTACAAGTTTCTGCAAATTAAATGCGACTTTGGGAGGCCAACTGGCATAAATTTTCGATACCTCGGATAATTCTGCTGTACTGTACCCTTAGCATGAACCATTATCGAATTCGAATAGTTGAATTCGATCTAGATATACGTCAAATATGTACTTATGATTTTTAGTTCTCGTTACGTCCGTTATGGCGCTGCTGTTCGAGTTCACATACAAAATTTTACATTGATATTTCGCACTCGCAAACTCAAATTCGATATTGGTTCGTGGTAGGGGTAAGGGTCTCTACAATTATGTCACTTATCAGAATAATCCAAGATTCAGCTTCATGAATGTATATTCATCTCTAAATATTAGATGGACACGTGTCTGATCATGCACTTTAAATGAGAATTGAGCGTTCATCTTGAGTGCTTTCATTTTTTATTTGTAACGGCTTACACTTTTGACTTAATTTATTCGCTTTTACAGATTCGGTACAGAAAAGAAAATGAAAGGAGCACGCGCCGACCTGGTGAGCAAAGCGACTTAGACTGAGCGCACATGTACGGTTGCCTGCTTCGGTTTCCCGATTAGGAAACCTCCGTGAGCCTAGCACATTTTGGTGTTGTTATTAGTAAGAATCCGATAAATAAGAATGGTGTGCGCGTCGTTGATCATTAATTTTGTATGTAATATGTTCTGATCAAGAAACTGTGCATACACACCTCAAAAAAAAGTTTGAGATCACTTGCAAAAGCTGATATACTTTCAAAATTTAACTTAACCAAGAGGAAATGTTTACGTTCTTTCTTTTTTTTTATTTAAAAATACACTTACTGAAATTAAAAAAAAAAAATTTTTAGTATAAAAATAAAATTCAATCCTAAGGCGATTGTAATAGAACTTTGATCGAAATAAAAAGATAGTTTAACCACACTTAAAAACCTTTTAGTAATAAATTGTTGTTTATCTTATACAAAATAACTCCCCTCTGGCTCGAACACATGCGGAGATCCTCCTGGGCATGCTGAGGATCAAGTTATCCAGCATTTCTTGTGGTATCCTGTCCTATTCTTGAACAGCAGCTTCCCGGAGCTGCAGCACTGTCTAGGGTGGTGGCTGCCAGTTCCAAACAGCTCGCTTAAGAGCATCCCACGCGTGTTTTATTGGGTTTAAGTCAGGAGAGCGGGCAGGCCAGTCTAAACTTGTGATTTCGTATTCTCGGAGCACTGACTCGTTGAGCTCGATGTGCGGGCGCATTATCGTCAACCAGTACATATTGGTGCCCATGGTTTACTTGGAAAGGTTTGATGATTCCATCAATAGCGACTGTTTTGTATCCGTCTGCCGACATGAAGCCTTAATAAGGGATTAAAGGCGTTCTAACCCCAATCATAATACCACCCCAAAAGGACACTGATTTACCGCCTTGCTGAACCGTTCCAGTGACCGTTCTTTGCCTTTCAGAGTCTCCTGGTCTTCTCCAAACACAGACACGTCGGTTATCTGGATGAGTACTGATTCGCGATTCGTTAACGAAGAGGCAGTTTTGCTAAATATTTTCCTCTTCGTCTTTGTCTTCTTCGTTTTGCCGGAGCCTAGAAGCTGACGTTCCCATGAATTCAAAGGTGCTCGCCAAGACCTCCGTGCTCGTAATCCAGCCTTGTGTAAGCAATTCCGAATGGTCTGAGTGATAACTTCAAGTCCGGAGGCGGCCCGTATTTCTGCTTTTAATTTAGTGGCGTTTATTATTGGGTCGCGGGCTACCATCAATCTGATGTAGCACTTCTGAGCAGCTGTCAAAACAGGCGACCGGCGACCCGCCGACCACGGGGTCGATCAGCTATATTACCCATGCCGTGGTACCTCTGCAACGTGGTTACTACACAGGATTGGGATAAGGCAACTCTGCGTGCTATTTCTCTCGTTGAATAGCCTTCTTCCCTCAAAGTTACAATTCTGGCTCATAAAACATTTGATAATCCTCGTGGCATATTTTAAATCACAACTTTCCGTGAAAAAATATTTAAAATTCGATAATATTGACTAAGTCAGATTTCTGAATGAGTATCAGCTTGGATTGCATGTCTTTTTATATGGAAAAGTAATTGAATTATTTTATTGTTTAACGTTCTAATTCTAATTTTAAAATTTAGAATAATATCAGAAAAAAAAATTACAAAAAAGTCTTCTGTAACACAAAAAAAAACTATTTTTCAAAGTGATTACAAACATTTTTTGATGTGTGTATGCGCCCAACATTAATGATAATCTGCGTACGTCCTCATTTCCGATCAGAGAGATTAAAAAATCCTAGTGTCTTCTTACTGGGCTTTGAAGAATTTACAAACTCTTTCTGCATCAGTTGTGTAATATTATGTAGCATGGGTTAGGGTTCATTGTTTGTAATGAAACTATCTTAAAATAAGTAGCACAGTTTTTAATCTACAAATAAGACAATTATAAATTCAATTATTATTACAAAACTATCTATTTAAATTAACTAGTAAATAATTTTAAGATCCTGAAAGGTTATTGATAGTAAGAGGCATCATAGTGCTGACATTGCCTCATTTGATTAAAAAGCCAAAAAATAATTAATTAACGCCTGTCACCTAAAATAGAACTAATAGTAAAAAAAACTTATACAATATGACCTAAAATAAATTATGCTTTTAGAAACATACCTTTACATTCATTTAAAGTATAATCGTAACAACGAACTAATTAACTACGAAAACTTATGTAAAATCGAAAAAAAAAACAATTAACACGAGAAATCGTCAAGTCTTCCTTTCGTTATTTCCAGATGGGGTTTTCCAGAACTTTTTGGATTTTTCTAAAATATTCTGTATATCAGCTATGCTCTGTGTTTTTGGGGGCTGGTGGTCATAAGGTGTAGCTACTTCAAACAACTCCGCAGTAACTGTGTCTACAATTTCATTACTCAACAGTAGCATACCAAGATTCAATTTCATATAAGTCTGACCATCCCTATAGATAAGATATATCTTCGATTGATCCAGTATTTTCAACGAAAACTGTTCATTAATTTTAAGAGCTTTCGTCTTTATTTGAAAAGGCTTAAACTCTTGCAGCAGCTTGTTGGCTTTTTCCTTGATTATGTTTTCCAATTCAATAGCGATCATGTCTAGGTCTGGTTCCCTCTTGTGTTTGCTGAAAGAATCCATTTTATCTGCATCCTTTCTACGGAGTAATTTCTCGATACATGCATCGCTTTTTTCATAATTATCTATAAACTGTCGCTGTAAAACTGGCGGTTCGTTTAGTGTGTGCCATTTCCAAACTCCTGGTGCTCCAATTTTGGCATCAATTATTACACCCTCAGATTGATTATACTTCAACCTACCAAACACGAGTTTGTAAAAAAAGTCATATTATAATTTTTATTACTTTGGTAAATGTGGTAAATTGCCAAAAAAACGATGAAAGCTATACGTGTGACTTCAGATTATTATATAACTTAAGTCACACGACATACAAATCCTATTTCCTATTAAAATTTTGAATGTGAAACTTTGTATGTTTGTTACACAATTACACAAAATCAACTGAACGGATTTAGATGAATTCTATAGGCATATAGGTTCTGACCCAGATTGGGGCACAAGATACATTTTATTTCAAGTTAAATTTTAGCATTTCCAAGAAACTGTAAAATCTTCATTGGAAATATATTGTTGTTTAAATCTTCAGATTCTATATTTATGTATACCTAAACCTACTTTTGCCGTTACAACATCATGTGTGATAATTATTTATTGTACTATAATATCACTTACCTTACATTCCCGTGGTGGTCGTAAACAATGCCATTGCCAAGGTGATCAAAAGTAGCAAGTACTGTAACTGGGAACTTTCTTCCAAATTCATCCTTTTCCCCAGAGCTATAAACAATATATCTATGTCCCGAGTTAGGTTCTGTGCAAAAAAACATTATTAAAAAAATACAGAAAGAAATGTTTTGATTAGGTAATCTAATAGGTATGAAAGTTATTAAAAAAAGTCTACCTTTTAAACTGTAGTAATTCAGTGCTAGCATGCCATTTTTGTAATACCATTTGCCGTCACCATTATCATCAATATCAGCTAACCTTTCACCTGTATCATACATAATTACTCCTTTGTTCTGATGGTTCTTGAACCAATCATATTGAGGGCTTGATGGCACCATTTTGTAAATATTCATCTAAAACATAGGTAATGTCTTTTCTGAATAATATTTGATTATTAAAGTGATTTATTTTATAATTATTAAAAAAAAGTTTTAAAAAGTGCGTATCTTTGAATTGTGTTGACCACAGAATAAAAACGCCCATTGATATAGAAACATGATTGTTTTAAAAAGATAGCAGTACTGAGTATTTTATATTAGTATCAGCTAGATAAGTCCATGCGTTTCTGAGAAAAAGGGTCTGTACAATCCATCAGATGTTCGGCCGGATGTACAACATAGTGTATACATTAGGAGGGGATTCTCTTTTAAGAGGTACGGAACCCTAATAGGAGTTTGGGCATCGGTAAAAATACTAATTAATAATATTTCTCTAGATACGTGTAACCTTAAGTGGGGGGAGGGTGTTAAAATTTTAATTAAAGTATCTTACCCTACGCATTATCTTTGTAGTAGGCAGCAACGTCCAACCTTTCTCTATAAATTCTCTGTTTGATAGCTGATAACTTATAATGCCCTTACTAGATTTTGTATCCTTAAAAAATATAAGCAGTTTTTATGAAATATCCGGCATACGTTGGGCCTGATTCTGACACGATCGATGGTGTAAACTCAAAACGTAATTGACAAAGGAGAGACTCCTTTTCAATCTCTGTGTAGCATGATAAGAATAGCTGCTTTAACATTTAGTTTCAGGTATAGAAAATCATGCCAGAATCCCCTGATTTCCATACAATGACCCTTCATTGTATCGGAAACAAAAATAATAGATAATAAAAAGAAATCTTACTGGTATATCAACTTTGTTTTTAAGTTTGGATGATTTACTAGTAGTAGTTCCCGTTGAAGTTATATTACTTCCGCTAGTCTTTTCGCTATCTTTGTTTATAAATTCTTGTTTCACTTTGTAAAGCATTGGTTTTATTGATTCAGTATCGAGATCTAATCGTGACTCTAAGGGCACGACTTCTATTCCTTTTATCATTTTTGTTGGTTCTATATTGCGTACGTCACATTCTATGACACTTTCAGAAATAGCTATATAGTCTTTTAAGTCAATCTTCAGAGACGCTTTACGTTGTGGAGTTGGGAGTTTTTCTATCTCAGGAATAGCTGGTAGTTTCTCACTTTTAGGTACTTTCTTATTTTGAGTATTGTCTTTATCTCGTTGTGACTTTAACATAGACGCCATCAGCATATCTTCAGCATCGTTTTTCGATTTGTCATCTTTTTCGCTACTTTTGTGTATCCTTTCCACTTTTGTTTCCAAGTGATAATCTGCTTTAACCTTCGACTCATCTTTCATTTTAGTACCATTTGGTGCTTTAGATTTACTTTTCGTTTTCGCTGTAGCTTGTGGTAAAGGCTTACTTTCTACTTTTTTTTGTAAGTTATAATCAGTTATTTTACCTACAAAATACTTGCATGTGCTAGGACAAGGTACCGCTCTCATAGAAGTAACAGCTTCATGATGATGCTTTTCGGTTTTTAATTTCAATTCCACCTCCTTGAGTATATTATTGCTTTCAGCCAAATTCTCTAGTAAGTGTGTAGATGAGAAGTGCCTAATGTAAGGTTCTCGCACATTAAGAGGCAACTTCAATTCATTTAATAATTTAGTTAGTTCATCTGTCTCGCTTAAATCTTGATGATATAATTTATGACGAGTTGCTTCACTCTCCAAGATACTGAAGAGAAACTGCTTTACCTTCGATAGCCAAATTACAAATCGTTGCAGTTGAGGATCGTTGTCCTTTCCTTTTAATCCACTTCTATTAGCTAATATTTCACATCTTTTACACTTACCCATGCTATTATATCTCTTACAGAATTCACATATTATGCCGGTCGTTTCATTTTTCCTTATAGCTTTGATTTCGTCTAACAAACTTCTTATTCTTTGAAGCATTACTTTGTATTGATAACATTTGTTTTTAGGAGAACCTGCATAAATCAAAAGTTAATACGTCGGCATCTAATACGTTAATTTTGTTAACGTCTTTTAATAATATTTTTTTATAATGTTAAGCGAGCTTATGTATTTGTGTGTGAATTTATTCAATAATTTGAATCGAAGATTCATCTTTATCTAGCCCATGTAGCGCTCGTGTGCAATAATTATCTTAGCTCCCTCTAGTCTGCGCTTAGACAAAATGGAATGGTGGTGATTGGCGCTCGATTGTTCCTAAACTCTCCACTCACATCTCCAGTTCAAGCAGAAAATCCATGACAGCCTACCTCTCATAACTAATAGCAACTAAGTTTAAGCATACCTATACAATTAATATTATGAACTTACTATCGCTTCTTTTATGTTCCGGACACGTTAATAATTTAGTAGAACTAAAAGATTGTTTCGCTTCCTGTAACATTACCAAATCAAAATCATAAAAATATAAAAATCTGCATAATTTACATCCCCAATTTTCAATTCACCATTGAGAAAATTGTCTAACATTTCCCATTCCCTTTATAAAGTTAATGAAAAAAAATGGTTGCCTGTAAAGTCGGTTTTACGGGCGAAGATTTTACGTGACAACGTCTTTTTCTCGGTAGAATATTTATTGATATGAATATAATTAAATTGCACAATAGGAACAAGGAATTGAATGAAAATAAGAATTGCACAAATTTTAACTATAGAAATATATTTTGTTTACTAAAACATTGTACATGTAAACTTAAACTTAACACGAGAGACTCATCGTAACGTTACCGAGCGTTACACTTTTTCATAAGTGACTCCCAGCCGCAACCTAATTTAAGACGTTGTCACGTCAAAAGTTAAAACACCTATCTATTGGCTGGGACATTGGGTTGGATGCAATAATATCTATTAATAGTGAGGTTACTTGCAGTAACCGTATATTCTTACGTTAATGTGTAATACGTCTTCTAATGTCTTAGGACTGTGGTTTTCTGGTGACGAGCCAAGTGATTGAAAAGCTTTCTTGATACATTCCAATGATGAATCCTTTCCTCCGTTACAGCATTTGATATTTCGATACAAGACAGTACTGAAATTAAGGATGTTTTCGTTAAAAAATCATTGCAAGATTGACTAAAGCTATATCAGTATGAGAAGGGTAGGGATTTATTAGTACCAGAAATTATGTATCTAAGAGCAAGGGTGAATTTAGCCTAGGGCAAAGAGAGCTATGGCCAGGCGGCAGCGAGGGGCGGCTGCAAGAGCTGCGAGGAGCGGCAATATGTATAATTTCTTCACAAAATAGAAAATTGCGAGGGTGAAATAGGAGATAATATATTTAAGTTAAAAAAGCTAGTAACAAGATGACAGGTTCTTCGCTCGCAGACTGGTGGTTAAACTAAAGAACTGCAGACGATAACCTTATTAAAAAATATTACCCTGAAGCGTCAACGTCCATCTTTTGGTAAAATGTAGATCACAGAATAAACACTGTGATCTACATAATAATTAAGGCAGTCGTTATATACATTTTTATCATATTGATTTTCTCGATGTCACCAAATAACTTGACGTCTGTCTGTGTCTGATGACATTGCTCTTTTTGCGTTCTTCGTTTTCTCTATGTTTTGTCTCTGTAAGAAACCAAATAATTTTAACCCTTTAGGTGCCACCTCTAATTAAGTATAATTTAAGTATAATTCTCTGAGTATGAGTATGTCATTAAAACAGCCTTTGTCTCTTTTCTTGCCGGTCTTCTTAGTAAAAGGTCTCCTGCCGTAGTTTTGCGAACTGATGCATCGCGACGGCCGGCGTAGTTTTTCCGACTTCTACGTGTGCTTGTCAACAGTCTAGGTATAATTTATATTATTTCCGAAAAGCAGGAAAAATATTCCTCATTGCCACCAGTGCAGTTATAGGCCTTTGAGTATTAGATACTCAGAGAAACATTAGGTGTACAGAACTGAAACATCAGTTCTGTACACCTAATGTGTAAAATGCAGCATGTATATAAATACATTGAGAAAATCTAGATTTTCCAACAGACATGTTTTTTTCTATATTTTGAGAACATCTAGTGACCTATAAAATAAAGCCTGCAAGTTTTAAATTGATTCCCGGAAATAAAAGTGGTGGTTCTCAGGAGGTTAAGAAGATTTATTTAAATCAATTTATGACAATTAAAATTTTTAAAGTTTCTTAATTGCATATTTAGAGAGTACAGTTAGTATGGAACATTTTTTGAAAACAAAAGCGAAGATATAATGTAAATCGTTGTCTGAAGTAGCTAGTAATTTCTCAGGTCACTCAAAATTCACAGTGTATAGTTGATTGATAAATAATTGAATAAAAGAAAAACTAAAAATGATGTTGATTTATAAATACAGGGATATTACCTTGTATAAGGGGCGACAAGGAATATATTTCGCTCTGTCCGTTCGGCCGTTCTTATGGTAGCCATACACACTACGAGAAATCGTTACGATCAGACTGTACAGTTCGAACGGTACCGATAAATCGTAGCGTGGATGTTATAAAACTGCACAGTTTCCTATACGTACGCCACGTACGATAAACTGTTCCGTTCGAACTGTACAGTCTGATCGTAACGATTTCTCGTAGTGTGTATGGCTACCATTACGCAGGTATGGGTATGGATCACAGACTATTAGATGGTATGGATGGACTTGGGATGGACATATAAATCAAAGAGTAAAAAATCACGCTGACAAGATCAAATAAAATGCTCTGCGATTTGTATAATGCAATCGAATTTCGTATATTTGCAGACACTGATGACTATAAAAGAGATTAATATACTGGCAGCCCTGATGTCAATGTCAAAGTCAAAGGAGTTTTTGGCGGGATTTCATCAAGTCACCGCCAACCGCGGCGTCTTATTTTAATTATTCTTAAATTTGTTTATAGTGGTTCAAAGTTCAAATTATTGTGAAATAAAATTGGTGTGATTTTGTGTTACAACCGTCTGCGCAACGGAAGAATTAGTGGAATCTTTAAAATATACGCTATACAGAACAAACCTAGACAAGAAATTTTGGACACAAACACTAGATATTATAAATCATTATTCTGACGATGCTGACCTGAAAAGGCTGCGAAACGTCAATAAATAAATAAAGTTTCGTGCAATAACCCCTTTAAAACTAGTTTTATTTAATGAGTGATATGCGTGAAAACCTAAGAAACAAATATAAGGATTTGTATTTATGTATACGACTGAAGGAATTGTATCCATGGACATGAATAATTACAAAAAAATAATAGTATCCAGTATCTTCGGATCCTTGCCTAAAGGGACTTTTTTTAATATATTTTAGTTATTAATTTTATTTTTAAGGTTTTTAGTATTAGTTTTATGGTTCTAGTATTTATATATATATATATATATATATATATATATATATATATATATATATATAGTAATTTTGTAATTAAAAAAATGTCAAAGTCAAAAATATACCTTTTTTTGGCGGGAACATTCGAAGAGGAAAGGCGCGCTTTGAAGGACTTTTTTTGCATTAATTTTAATTTTCTCTTTTGTTTGTGTGTTTGTGTATTCTTGTATAGTTTTATGTAAATAGTGTTTAAATTCAATTATAGGTATATAGAAGTTAAATGGCTACTACGAAAAAGCGCAAAAAAGACTATGGGGGTGGTGATGATAGTCGTCGTTCTTCGGACGATGAGTCTGAGACCTCTCAGAAATTCAAGATCTTTAAAGTAACTGGGTATCAAAGGAAATATCCTGAAAATGCAGATAAAACAGAGTTTGTTGTGTTTCTGTCTCACAAAACATACGATACGCCATTTACGGATAAAGACAGAATTAAAATTTCAAAAGCTATCCGAACACATTGCGTGTCCGGTGTTTTACATTTAAGGCTGGTTAACCGGTATAAAGTCGGCATAACGTTCGATCTTTCGAACAATACCAAGGTGTTTTTACAAAATGCCAACCTTTTAGAAGAGTTGGACGTAGTGGCCACCATTCCAGCAAAGGACACTGAAGTAACCGGTGTGCTAAAATCTGTCCCTACTGAATTGTCAAATAAAAACATTTTCTCTTGATAGGTAGCTCGAAAAACATAATACAAGTCCGGCGGTTCATGCGGCGTGTGCAGGGGGATGCTGGTGCAGTCTCGTACCAGCCCACGCAAACAGTCGCAGTAACGTTTGCATCTACTCAGTTGCCAGAATACGTATATCTAGACCATTGGAGACACGAGGTCAGTCCTTACGTTCCACCTGTTAAGCAGTGCCTACGTTGCATGCGTTTCGGTCACATTGCGAAGTTTTGTCGCAATAATGAAGTCTGTTCAATTTGTTCGTCAAATCATAATTATAAATCTTGTACTGTTGATTAGAAAATGCAAAGTGCACTAACTGTGGAGGTAATCACGTAGCCATCTCATCCTCTTGTCCAATTAAAAAGCAACAAATCGAAGACAACAAAATTAAAAGTAGAGCAGTGCAATATTCAGAACTGTTTAATGAAAAATCATTTCCCAAACTTGCCGAAAAATCAATAAAAACACATTTAAATAATTATCAAAATCAGACTTATTTATAAATTTATTAGTGGAAACAATAATGAATATAGTATCTAATAAGAATGTATCTATAAATAGTAATACTATAAAAGAAAATTTACATAATACATTGAGAAAAATACCTTCTAATAATAAAAATGGCTAAGTTAAACATTGTACAATGGAATGCGCAGAGTTTTGTAAGCAGTAGGCACATATTTACAAATTTTCTTTATGAACACAATATTCATATAGCATTAATATCAGAAACTTGGCTAAGACCGAATCAACAATTCAAAATAAAAGGTTTCGACATAGAAAGAAATGATTCTGATAATATACATAATGGAGTTGCAATATTAATTTGCAATAACATTGTATATACTAAAATCAATACAAATTTTGATAATACTTTGCAAAATATTTGTATTCGTATTACAATAAGAAATAAAGATTTATCAATTGTTAGCTTTTACAGTTCTCCAAATACTAATCCTGCCTTTAGTAAAAGCAAATTAGATTCTCTTATAAAATCTATCCCTGGTCCAATGATTTTTGCAGGTGATTTTAATGATCATCACTCTATAAAATCTGGTTTAGGTTACAAGATAGAAAAAAATTCCTCAGTATTCACTGCAGAAGCTCTAGCAATTTTGGCTGCTCTGAAACACATAAAACACCAAAATCAAGGACATAAAAAATGGCTAATACTTGGTGATAGCATGAGTGTGCTCAAAAACTTAGAAAACAATAAATTAAGTGCAATCACCAATTACATTATTCATTCTATTAAAGAAGTCTGGTATGATCTATACAATGTTGATAATATAATTGTAAGTTTCATGTGGGTTCCGTCTCACATTGGTGTAACAGGTAATGAAAATGCAGATTATCTAGCAAAATCTATCAATACTCTAGCTACTGAAACCAATACTCAGAAGATGTCTATACCTTATGTCGAGTGCAGCCATAGGTACAAATACTATGTCTATGATCACAGCACTGGACGATTACATTTCTATAAAGAGATTAGTTTGTTTTCGAATTTATTGTTGTCTATTTTTATATGTCGAAATAAATAAAGTCTTGTAAAATATAATTTGCGATTTTCGTATTAAATTAAATAAGTCAAGTAGATTATCCTCGCCACAAGTGGCGACCGTGAATTTAAATAGTGTGAGGATAAATATATAGGACTATAGAACGGAAATCGTGTGTCACAATAGCAAACAAAATGTAGAATGTAGAATGAAAGTCGAAGAAAAGATTGAGCTGATAAAGAAGAAAGGTTTATGTTTCTACTGTTTACGCAAGGGTCATAGTGCAAAGAAATGTAGAGTTTTTGTAAGGTGTCTGATATGCGCTAAGAGACATATGACAATAATGTGTAGAGACATCAAAGAAGGCACAGAAAATAAGAAGACAGGTAACGGAAAAGTGTCTAAAGAAAATGACGCAGCATCTAATATACTGCTATGTCACAAAGACTTCGTTACTTTATTACCAACTGTTAAGGTATTGGTACAAAATGGTAGCACGATGCTTCGTGTGAGAGCTTTGATCGACTCAGGAGCCCAGAGATCATACATTAAAGAGGGGTTGGCGAGAAAATTAGGCTTGAGTTCAGAAGAAACAGAGACGTTAGGGCATTATGTATTTGAAGGAGCAGAGACAAAACAGAAGACACATAATGTATACAGCATAAATGTAAAGGACATCGAAGGAAGCCTATGTTTGCAAATGGAAGTTTTGGGAACCAGAGAAATTTGTGGTCCCATACCGCTTGTTTCGAACCGAAAGCTATTACAAAAAATGTCTCATCATAATATTCAGTTATCAGATGTAATCGATGAGGAAAAGGAGATACAAATATTGATAGGAGCTGATAATTCTGGAATATTAATAGGAGGGGAGATAATTCAATTAGATGATAATGTAACAGCTATCAGAAGCAAATTTGGTTGGTACATTCAAGGTCCAGTAAGTACGAGATTTTCGGTTTATAACTCTTTGACATGTAATTTAAATGTAACAGACTTATGGAGCTTAGAAACTTTAGGGATAAGAGATCCTGCCGAGATGAT